AATTTTACTTTTAATGCTTAAGTACCAAAAAATAAGATTTTTACTCAAGTAATATTCTTAGAGGAGACTTTATCTTTTACCAAAGTGATTTTATGTTAAGATACTTATATTTCACTCATATCACTAGAGGTACTTTATACAAAACAGATCTTTTCAAGCATTTATAGTATTTCAAATTTTATAGTCCAGTTTTTCTACCATTTTTAATGATTTTGCAACAGTTACAATCATTTTCATTAGGCAGTATTTGCAGCATCTTTTCACACGAGACACAGCTTTGTGATCATTTGTTTCAGATGATGCACTTTTTCTATCATTAACAGTAATCCCCACATCTTTCTCTCTACCCATGGAGAGCTACAGACCTAAAAAGCCAAAATGGGGAATAAAAGCAAAGTAAAAGAGTTCTGTGGGAGCTAAAACAAAAACTCATTACCATTTAGCACAGTGTTTACACATCCTTACATTTTCACATGTGCTTGGATTTGACTGAATGAAAAGTTAATKAGCAGCTGAAGGAAAGTCACCTTTCAATAAAACTTTGTTTCTGTCAATTCAGTCAGATCCTTTGAACAGAACAAAAACGTGTCTCTTTCAAAATGCTGAGCAAAAGGCTTTTACACCTTACTGTGCACTCTTAGGTGGCTTGAATCCATCAAAAGAAAACATAAAAAGACTAGAGGCAAATGATGACCATCAGAGTGGATACGAAGCTGGCAAAAGTTACTGAGTTGGCATCTGAAGGAGAGGGGAAAAAAGAGAGAGAGTTAAAGAAAAAAAAACTCGTCCCCCCTGAAGTGTGCCAACTCCCCCTGGAGAAYAGTCGGGGGGCTGGTGGGGCTGAACTGAACTGTGACTCTGCTTCTCACGACTTTCCCACACTCTGTCCATTGATGCCCCCCCAACTCAACAATGGCCATGTGCCTTGYTAAATGCTAATTCATCCACACACAAGCAGCTCCTGGCTCTTCCCTCTTGGGGGGAAGGTTTGTTGCTCAGACACTCTCTTCAATTAGAGTCAAWGGAGAAGAGAGATAAGCATAAATATTTAGGCTGGAGTGTGACTTCTATCTTCAAATGCATCAACAGGAAAACAAAATGTTAAACTGCAGGTCTTATAGTTTAGAATATTTAGTAATTATTAGCAAAGACATCATAATGAGACAGAAGAGAACAATAGATGTATTTCATACATTTATGGCAGGGTTAATTTTACAGATATTCATGAATAAAGTTAAATATGGTATGATACTTATATTTTACTTAAGTATCACTTTGTGGTACTTCTTACAAAACAGATCTTTTCAAGCACTTATACTATATTAGCATAGTATATATTATTATATTAGTATACATAATTATATTATATACTATTAGTATACTATTAGTATACATATTAGCATTTGTTTATTATATACATTCATTTATTTACTGTACTAGGTATATGTACATTGTTATATATAGTGTTTTTTTGTATTTTCTTTTACTTATCTTTCTTTATTCTATCTCACCCTGTCCTGTTTTGTCCTGTTTTGTCCTGTTTTGTCCTGTTTTGAGCTGCTGTAATGTGCAAATTTCCCCACTGTGGGATCAATAAAGTTTTATCTTATCTTATCTTATCT